CTATAATTCTATTAGTATCAAGTTGGAAAACTCCCTTGTATTATGCTTTCTTGTAATAATATTTGTTTCCGTTTATATTTATTTTTCGACTGTGTACATTTTCGAATCCGTCGATCAAATTCGGTCCATAGAGAGACGTTTTACATTCAACCAATCTGATACAATTCGCACTTGATCTTTAGGATCATTATCATGTTGAAATATAAAATTTGATCCTAATCACAATTTTCGAGCTGACTGAAGTAGATTTTTCTTCAAAATCTTTCTATTTTTCATCAGTTAAAACCTCATCCTTTTCGACTGAAGGAACTCCACACCGCTTTCGCATTACTTCCATGATATTTAACTATTGGCAATATACAATCTAGACTATATTCTTCGTTAACTTTTCTTCAAACCATTACTTTAGAACTGGAATCAAATAAATTAAATTTGATCTCATAAGATCATATAACTTTTTTCTCAAAAGGATAATTCTTTGCAACATATTTTACCACATACTTTAAATGTTCTACTTTATTGATAATAATCTCGAATAATCAACTTCATTTATTCCATATTTTACCGTTGTCGTAAGTATTGTTATTTCTAATTGATTTTGTATTTCTTGACAATGTACTGAACCATTATTTGTGGAATATTCATGTACTTCGCAATTCTACCTAATGAATCTTCATTTAAATGGCGATTAACTATCAAATTTCAAAAGACTTTTGAGTATTCGTTTTGTTTTAGATGTCATAGTTCATTTTGTCAAGAATCGAATAATTATATTGAAGAATGAGAGCAAGAATCAAACAATTGATCACTTTTAGCTAAGCTGTTTCACTAAAATGTTGATTAATTTAAATCATGTTTATTTATTTTCCCAGATAACTTTTCGACAACGAACACACGAGAACAAAAAAAGAGTAGAATTTCGTTATTCGATGGTTGTTTCTTTCTAACTCCGCAGAAAAGAAAGATTTCAATGCACGTATATATTTTAAAAAAAGTACAAATCATCACGTTCAAATGAAATAAAATGTATTATATATGAGTTAAATACGTATTAAATGATAAATATGTTTAAAAAAGAGCAGTTGAAGCAATAATTTACATAGGGCGTTCAAAAAGTTCTGAGCTCTATGTATACTTAGTTGACATCGACTCTTTTTTTAAAGAAAAAAAAGCATTTTTTGTCAGTTCCTAAAAATATTTATAAGTTCTTTTAATTGGGTATTATAATGGTGTACAAATTCTTCTTCCAAATCCATTAGTACCCGTTTCATAATATTCACAACATATATGAGAAACTTCTTGGCTTTTTTTTGTATACATAATGGGTGAGCCGAAAGTTTTACAACTGAATGTTTGTTTGTTTATTTTTCACTAGTCCGAAAGTGTTTTCGAGAAATCGAAAGCTACGGGTTATAATTAGAAATTTGTACTCTTTCTTAATGTAAGCTTAGAAAATTTTCTTGAGACCAATAAGATGATCTTTTGGAAGATTCAAAAAATAATTTGAATGGAAATTTGCTCCGTCACATTTTTGTGCTTTCATTATTGCAATTCGAAAGTAAATGTTGATACCTTTATTAATATATCAACTTGTAGAATACTAGCTACCTTACAAAAACTACTCTTGGAGTTTTTTTTTTGTTTTTTTACAGATTATTTCAATTTTTGTTTATCTTAAATCATCATATATAGGTTTTGCCTTGTCTGAGATACTTTCAAGCACATTAAAAAATGAGCAACCATTTGCACGAGAACATTGATGTTGATGCTACACAATCAAAGATTTAATAAAATGTAAAATGAAAAATTTAATTTGTCTATTAGCTATCTTTCTAACATAGAATTCATTATTTATGTAATGCATTATCGTATACCAATACTTACTGGCACAGACTCTTCTTCCAAATTCATCAGTACCCGCTTCACAATATCCATTTTCACAGATACATTCATTAGTTGTACTATCAGATTGAGTACCTTCATCGCAACTTCAAACACATTGATTAGCCGAAATGAAAACATAATATGGCTTTGGGCAAACTTTGAAAAAAAATGCAAATCATTTAAATAATATTAAGTATATGAGATAATGCGTAATTTGTCTAATATGATGTCATTGATTTCTGATATTAGATCAGTGAAAGACGACTATAAAATTTTGACTACAGAACAGAATATAAGTAGGTTTGTAGAGAAAATCTTTCTGTATTCTATGAGTTATACGCAGTATCAACTTCCACTGTGATCTCTATCAACATACGAACAATATGCAGTATAATTTTATTTTTATAATGCACACACTATTAGATAGAGAATGTCTTTCTCTAGAAGCCTACATGTGTTCCTTTCTGTAGTCAAAAATCATCGATAACTTATAGTCATCTTTTCGGCAAGAATAACACTACTTATTTAGAAATATTTCATTTAGAAATATCAACCTTTTTTGAAGAGTTCTAGATCCTATCAATCAGGGTGTGGATGCGAGTATGGATGTTCTCTTCAACAGAACCCACACCCTAGTTCTAGTTTCAATTTTGAATTATCTACATGTCATATCTCAATGCTTTTCTCATACTCTTAAGAGCTGTAAAAATTTTACAAAAATTTTAATCACATTCTATCCTCATTCGAACTTGACTAACATTACATCTATTACAAAGTCCGCCTGAAATCTGTGAATGGTTTTCTGTGACAGACTCCTTCTTATAGAAAGCGTGTACATGTGTTTTCGTGGCACCTACATCAAGAGACTTGTGGAGAGAGTCTGAAAGTTGCATTAAAACGTGAAACTTAAAACGTGGATTGAATTCAACTTTCAAGTTCGACATATACTTAGGGCATACCAAAAGTCTTCACGGTCCTATATCAATTTCTGATAGAATGCTTGAAGAAATTTTCTTTTTATATAGACTGATAGTAAAAACCAAGCTCTACATTTCTACACTATTTGATCATTATTCATCTAATATCATAATAATAAAATTTCGATGAAAACTATTTTTGTGTGAACTTGACTAACGGGTGAGACAGATAAAATATTTCCATCACCTAATACGTTGTATTAAAAAACAAAATATACTACAAGATGCAGCGTGAAAAGTTCTACAATTTATAAAGAACAGTTTATTTTATATATGAAATAAGAAGAAAGGAAGTTCTCTTCGTATAGAAAAAATGATTTTTTCGAGGCAGCAAAAATTGGTCTCACAGGATTTTACTTTTTTTTTGAAAACAAGAAGTAAACAGTTAAAATAAGCTTTACTTTGCAGACTGTACAGCTTTTCACGCTGCATCTTGTGGTGTATATTGTTTTTTAACACAACGTATTAAGCGATGGAAATGTTTAATCTGTCTCACCCGTTAGTTAAGTTCACACAAAAACAGTTCTCATCGAAATTTGATTATTATGATATTAGATGAATAATGATCAAATAGTGTAGAAATGTAGAGCTTGATTTTTACTATCAGTCTATACAAAAAGAAAATTTCTTCAAGCATTCTATAAGAAATTGATATAGGAACGTAAAGACTTTTGGTATGCCCTAAGTATCATACTTCTCTATAATGACATATAGAGTTTTATGACAATTTGCTACGTACAATACCATCTTCTTAGTAATGGAATCACAAATATAGAGATTTTGAGTCATAGATATAAAGGAGATATCAAAAGCAGTGAATTTTTCCTAGTTGGACATCGATGAAGCAGCTAGTCTTTGACAGTTGAATCAAGAAATGTGTAACCGATCGAAAATGAAAGAAAGTGAAAACAAACATCTCCAAATCAATGAAATCTTCCTTCTTCTCACTCGAAAATAATCGATTTTCGTCAGAACAATAGAAATTTAAATAGGCGCATAGTACAATAGCCTGAAGTCTGACTTTGCACAATCAACAATATATTTTACTGACACTTCTTTTTTGTCTAGATTTTTCATGACTTTTGACATCTTGAGGATCTGGATATGAGTTATTGTGAATGGGAAGATGAGTGTGAGTAAATGTTTGAACAGAAGACTCACACCCACATCCTCAAGTGCTCACTAAATTGTGCAATTGTTCTCGTTTAACTAGAATAGTGATCATGTGACTACACTATTTCATCAAAAAAGCAAATGCAGCATATGTCACTACTTTGTTATCAAGCCATTCACGTGTCCACAAAAGCAAGGTCGTATTTTTTTTCTTTCGCTATCAAAAGACCTTCTCTTGTATTGTTCTGCGTCAAGAACAGATAAGAATTAACATGCAGTCACATTTTTTTGACTTTCTTTCTTCGACACATAACAATACTGTAGTACACTGCACCGTAGTCGATGATAATGCTAATAATTATTTACGCATTTGTAACGCTTGCTATTTCTATTTTCTTCATCATCTATTGGAATATAATTCGTCCAGAGAAGAAAATATACGATGAACTTCGTAGTCAAGGTATTCCGGGTGAACCGTTTATCCCAATTATCGGTCAACTTTCACGAATGAGACGTGCTCGAGAAAACGATGAACTTGTTGACTATCTGAGTGAACTATTCCAGAAACATGGAAATTATTTTATGTTTTCTATGGGTCCTCTAGTACGAATAATGCTCAGTGAACCTGACATGCTTTCGGATGTTCTTGGCCGAGCACATGCACAAGATTATTTTAAACCAACTCTATTTCTTACCGTCTTCGAATCATTAACTGGCACACGCAATCTTTTAGTCAGAGAAGGATTAGATCATGAGCGGGCTCGAAAAATGCTCAATCCTGCTTTTCATTTTACGAATCTAAAATCGATGGTGTCCATCATGGCTGATCAAACATCTAAAGCAATTGATCGATTGCTAATGTCATCCGACGAAAAATTCATTGATTTTCAGAAGGAGTTTAGCTCTTTGACACTGGAAATTATCATTTCGAGTGCTTTCGGCACGGGTTTAGAAACTACGCCTAATGCTAATGAGATTATATACCAATCAATCTCGGATATTTTAGAGATAATTAGATATAGAACAATGCGCATGATCAGTCAAGTTCCTCTACTAGCACGATTGCCTTTCTGGCGCAAACAACTTTTGGATGAAAATTCTCGAAGAGTGTCCAATTTCGTTGAACAAATCATTGCTGATCGACGAAAAGGTCGATCTGCTAGTTTGTGTGCCGGCGCTGACCTCCTCGATCTACTTCTCTCAGCTGTGGATGATGAAGGACAACCATTTAGTGATCAGGAAGTGAAAGACGAGGCGTTGACTTTTGTGGTAGCGGGTCATGAAACAACCGCTAATCTTATGACATGGGCCATGTATGTTTTGATGACAAACGAGTCTGTATTACGTGCCTGCCGTGAAGAAGTTGATCAGGTGCTGCCGAATGGAATGATACCCAGTTATGAACACATGAATGATTTACAAGTATGCGAAGCTATTTTACAGGAAACACTTCGTCTTTACCCGCCAGTGCCCTGGTTTGTACGAAAATGTATTCGAGAGCACACCATCGGTAGTGACGGTCACCATCAAGTGCGTATTCCTGTCGGCACAACCATTGCAATTATGACTTACATGCTCCATCGACGTGCTGACTTCTGGCCTCGGCCACTTGAATTTGATTATATGCGATGGATGCGTAATCCGATGACCGGTCTCAAACCGAAACTTACTCATCCTTTCTGCTATTTACCCTTCGCTGCCGGTTCACGTAATTGTATTGGACAAAATTTTGCCTTGCTCGAAGCCAAAGTTATGTTGGCTATGTTCGTACAACGATGTAATTTTTCAATCGAGCCTGGTCAAACAATCGTACCTCAGATTACTATTACGATGAGACCTAAGTATGGGTTAAAAGCTAGAGTAACGAAACGATCATAGAACATCATTCCAAAAGAATATCGAATTCTACGTATGAATATACCAGTCACGATTTAGTATAAACTATCAATAGCATTTGTTTTGAACTATCTTTACTTCTTGAAAGATTACAAATATGCCTCTAAAATCCTTTATTGAATTGGATGTGGTCGTGGGTCCTCACTGCACTCACATCTATTCACATTCATGCTCAACCTGAAAATTTCAGAATGATTTGCTGATAATGTGATTAATTTATCATAAGACGTTCAGCTCTGATTATACTTTCGTTTACGAGATAGTTGGGATATAGATCAAAATGGCTATATTGCCATATTACTTGAAAATTCAATATATTAGGACAGAAGAGCAATGGCACGAATCCTTCTAGGATTGTGCTAGTCTAGAGATCCCCTCTATATGCTCAAAGTATGAGCTCAAAAGTGGTTAATCACTCCAGACAGTTCCCTCGTAAGTGTGATTTATAGTTACAGCTACAGCGACGCGTTTAACTTTTGAGGACAGAATTTTTTTAAGTCAAAAAGTGGCTCCTTTGTCATTTTGTTTTATTTTATTTAGTTCAAAATGATTACATAAAAATCTTATGATAATCAAAAAAAAAACAATATTTCTCTTCTTTTAAACAGAATGCTAATTTGCAAGTCATGCATTCGGCGTTGAATCTAATTCATACTTCCTTTCATGCTACAGTAAACACATCTTCTTCGTGTTTCTTTCACAGGCAAATGTATTTCATTGGTAAAATGAAGAACAGATTGTGATGATGCCACTTTAGACTTCGTTTCAGCATCAGGTCTTTCACGATTTATTCGTTCAGTACTAGAACAGAGAGACTTCATCATTGAAATCATGTAATTTAAGTATGTGGGTGCGGAAAAAGAGAAGACCTACACCTACACCTACACCTACACCCACACTCTCACATATGTAATGCAAAAACGAGCGAGAACTAGAATGTTTGCGTTGGTGAAAATGAGCGCAATCATCTTCTTTTCGTCGTGACATTTTCATTCACACCCGATCGCTCCACTCTCAACACACTTCTGTGAGCGCATTGATAGCAAAATTTAGTACTGACAGCATGCAACAAACGTGTATCAACAATCGTTGGCAAGCTATTACCTGTCGATCAATTGAAATCGGTGTGCATAGTCATTAGCGATGTATAAACAACTCAACGCCTCGAGTCAAAGAAAAAATGGAAAGTGTGATGAATAGAGTGAGAGAGTCGCCTCGCATTTCAAATAGTAAGTAAAATGTATGGAGTTGATGGCATGAAACGAATTGAATGAGGGCGAGAAAAATAAGTCGATGCTTCGTGAGTATAAAACAGGATAGAAAATTTGTTTCAGCGCTACTGTTGCTTATTGCTAGCAGAGCATTTTCTACATTGAATAAAGTGTATGCTATTGAATTCGAGCATAAAATTATTCATTGCAGATAAATAAAACCATGAATGATAGGGTTGAAGATGAATTGGAAAAACTAGTAGAGAATGAAGATACTCTCGGCGAAATGATGACTATTCCCATCAATATAGAGGAAACGGCCGAATCCTCAAACATAACGCCGATATTGGAGACAAAACAGCAGGATTCTGCTGTTAATAAGAAAGCTAACACTATCGCTTGTATCTGTATATTGGGCACCGGCTTGTGCGCTTTTTCTTTCCCATTGGTAGTATCGAGTAAGTAATGATTTTATGTCTCTTGTTTTTCATTGCAATTTATCACTAGCTGTTTGATCAGTCACTAAAAATCATTCACATGATAGATAAAAACATTCTTTTTCATTTCCATCTCTCGACTTGAAGGTTTTGATTAACTTTTGGACTTATTTTCCACTGTGTTGTCGAAGTCATTTGTTATTTTTAGCTCTTAAGTTGGCTATCGGGTGGCGTCATGTTGATGAGTGTCCAGTTAATCCACGAATTCCCCATTATATGATGGTTGCAGGTGCTGTAGGTCTTGTGCGGACTGGTATACGTATTGTACGCATAAGTATCAAAACTCGTTCCATAGATCTATCAGGCACTTCGAGTTCCGAGAATACTCCCACGGGTTCTCTTTGGCTTAGTCGCATTTACTCTGTCGTTAGTTTCGGTCTGGATATCTTTCTCATTGGATGGTTCATCTCTGGATTCATCAGCATATTTAGTGTACGAAACAAAGTTCAATTTTATGATTCATCACTATCTAATTATTGTCATCCGACTCTGTATCGATTCGCCTCTTGGTCACTCTTACCTTCGTTCATACACAGACTACTATCTGCTTGTAAAATTGTTTTGAAACTATATTTGAGTAAAAAGACAATGGAAAAAAAGAAAGCAAAGGCATTATGAACATCCATTCCATGAACATTTCACAGACAATACATGACTTAATCGAAGATTTTATATTTATTAGACAGTCTAAAAACAAATGTGCACCTTTGTTTTCAAAAATAAACTTGAATATCTAAATGGATATTTAGGACTTATGCCAAACAATAGAGAGAGAGAGAGGAGGGAATCAGCGAAAATTGATCAAAAATGACATTGAGATGAGGCTTTCGAGAGTGTGTGACACTACGTTTGTTTCCACTATCTAAAACTATCAGATAGGTCGTTTATGTGATGTATTATATATAGTAGTTTTTTATAATCGAATATTTTTTAGAATATTATATGTGCACAAAACGATCGAACAACTGTATTCGATCATATATACGAAGGTGTAACTAGCAATGCAAAAGCCTTTAAGTTTTGATGTAGGATATTATAGATACAGATTTGGTCATTTTTAGAGTCAATCCGTTCAGATACTTTTTTCAAACATACTTTCACAAGTTTTTCGATATATCTGATAATAAGCGAAAAACACCGAAAATACTGCTTTTTTTTCTCCGATTGGATAAATTCTAACACAAAGTAATTTTAGCGTCGATTCGCCGAGAAGCTTCTTTCAATACAACTATGCATGTTTCAAATATAACTCGAAAAGTTTTATTAGAGGATAAAAACCATTTTCAGATGATATGAGTGTAGGTGTGGGCAGGGCTGGGCGAGGCCGAGTCATCCTGAGTCATTTATTTAAGAAAATTTTCATTTGCGCTTATATAAAGAAACCTTACTTTATAGAGTCAAATTCTTACTCATTTATAACTTTCGTTCTAACTGAATAAACCGTATCTGACTAATTGTTTCAAGAGATTTCTGTCGATCTACATATTCATATGCTCGTGAATGATAGCGTATGTGTAGTGTCGAATATGTGTGCTTTTTCTTACTTTTTTATTTCGTCTCACCTTGAATGCCTGTATATATGTATATAATGAAATAAACGAAAACTTCACAATGGATCACTCATCATATTCTTTACTACACTATAATATAATTGTTGTGTAAAAGTATTTTAATGATCAAAATTTGATCATCAAATTTTTCCATTATTCATTTCATATTATTAACTTCTCAGCAAGAAGTGTACGTGTGGGCATGTCATCTTGTTTTTATCCACACTCATCCCCTTATTTTGAAAAAAAAACTTAATATCGATCTCTTAATAAGCTTCCTAGAAAAGTTATGTGTACTCCTACCATAGAAACACCAGATGAATAATTATTTTCTCAAAGTAGAATTCAATGAGATCGAATTTTTTCAAGTTTTACAGATACTAATATTCTATTTTTACATCTTTAAAATGCAATAAGGTAAAGCATTTGATTTAAACTGTAATAAATAATTTTTGCTTCGAAATAGGTTTAAGGTTTGGTTTTTGTTTACTATAATATTATATTTTTTTACTATAGTGTGACGCTGTATAAAAGAGACTTGATTTTACCTGTTCCTATTTTGTTGATTAGTCTGTTCTAGTCGTCTCATTTTATTTTATGTGTAATCTATTTTGATTTTTGTGCGTAAAAACTAGGACCTGAATCTTTTGTAATGAAAAACTTGTGATTGACATTCTTGATAAGCATGAATACAACACGAAACAGTAGTAAAAATAGCTTGACTCGACTCGAGAAATGACTTGATTCACCGAGCCCCGTTGTATGTCAAGTAACTTGCTTTGTACAGCATTCTGCTATGAATAACGATACTCAAATAAAGAAGGATTTTTCATTTTTTACGGCAAATTCTGCATCTCTACGATATTCTCTTGTTTTCAATTAAGATACATGGCCTCAAAGTTTTCATGCTGATGCTGATTGTCTTTTATTTTGGCATTTGGTGTGCCTATCTATAATCTCATATATGATGTTCTATTTTTTTTTAAAGAAAATTATGAAATTCGTGGTTACAGTGTGGGTGTAGCTGTCATTGTGGGTATTCCATGTATCTACATGCACACCCACACCCTACGACAACTGAACATTGATCTTGTAGCGTATTGATTTTCGAACGCTAACTTATGGAACTAGCACTCGATGCGCTTCCTTTAAATACATGTGAATGCCTATGTTCACTTTTCAATACAAGGTTTAATTAGGATCTTATTGATCGTTGATAATTCAATTGTTTTATGTCTGACATTGGTGAAAAATGGAAACGAAAAAAATCACTCAATTGCTCTCGGTTAATATAAGAAAAAATGCCAAAACTCTTTCATAAACTAATATGACATTAGTGATTACGAGAAACGTTTGCATGTTCAAGAAGATGTGACACAATTCCGACTTATATGTCGATTCACTTAACGATGGTATACATCTGTCATAGCTAGAAAAGCATCAGCAAACTTGTGCACTTAATTGATTGAAGGAAATGAGTTTTATTCACGATTTTTTTTTCGCCAATTAGAATGATGAATTACATTGAACTCATTTCATACCAGTTTTATATTGTTAACTTCATCAATCGATGCTTTTTTTCTTAATCAATCATCTCCTCGTATAGGACGACCACATGTGCAAAGATTCGCCGAATATGCAGATAAACAAACACCCTCGTATTTGTAATTATTGGCCTTTGCTGGTGTTGTACGTGGTCGTGTATTCAGCAGACGACGACGGGC